TCCAGAAATATCAATAAAACTCCCTATTACAAAAAAAGGAGACCTGACAAACCAATCAATATTTGCATAATTCAAAGATGAACATTCTGATAGCCTATTCTTCTACACAGATGGTAGCAAAACTAAAGATTATACCACAGGAGCAGTAATCAGCCAGGACATTGCTGTCAAGAGAACATTCATCCTGAATAAAGACAGAACAATTATGAGTGCGGAACTGAAAGCTATCAGAGAAAGCCTCAACCTAACCTCCCTATACAACGTAAGAAAAGCAGTAATATGCACAGATTCACTAATTTCAATTACACTTCTTTCACAAAAGGATACAATCACGGACAACTTGGAATTAGAAGAAGTTCATCATTTCCTCGCCCAAAATAAAGACTTAATATTGACATGGACCCCAGGTCATGAGAATATCGCAGGCAATGAGTTGGCTGACAAACAAACCAAAGACCTCCGTAACGCCACAGACTACTCAAAAGAATTAATCCATTACTCTAACTACCAACGACTAACCAAAAGTTCAGTATTGCAACTTGCTTTAGTTTGATGAACTGTCATTGCAAAATGGTGAAGTGGTCGTGGACGAAAATGTAAACAAAGCCGAGGAGAATGGAAAAGAGTATCAGCTGACCGAGCCGAAACAGCCAATTAACGGGCGCAGATGAACGCGAAACCATAGCAACGACAACGGAAGATTCCAATAAATTCGAATTTTCCTGCCACTGCCCCACTCCGATTCGCGCCCCCCTAGAATTTTCTTTCCGCCCTTCGCCCTTCCGTCCTTTCGGCTTCTACTCGCAAAAGTGAGCTAATTTTTTGGCTTTCCCTTAGTTATGAACTTTATATCAATCTATTAAAGTTTCATCGACTTTCATTGAGAGCCGCTGACCCCATGCTCTGTGTGGGGGTCTTTCAATTTGACAACTTGTTAACTCCAAACGAATTTCCATTATGCTGGCTCATACAGCAATAATCGTCCAAGTTGAGGAGTGCAGATAAAATAATTCTCTTGTCATATTTTTCGCTCAGAATTAGTAAACACATAAGTCTACATGAGCGAAAGTGACTAGCTAAAACTGAGTCACTGATTTTGGTTGAGTTCAGGTTTGGTTCAATCAGTAGTCAGCCATTTCAATAAAAAAGGATGTTGCTTTTAGAAGGAATCCACAAACGGCAGTGCTACCGTAACATATCGATGGTGAAACTGCCAATGAATTCCCTTAGGGAAAACGACTAAATGTCATTTCTTGGAAACTTTAGTGATTTTCTTCTCTAAGTGAAAATGTTCAAGGAAAAGTTCAAGCCATGATGTTGGTCTAGTCTCCTTAGAAAAAATAAAATTCATTTAGGAATAGAGCTTTTGAAACACCGCAACCGAGATACGAATTTTTGCAGTTTCACCATTGATGTGTCCTTGGATACATGCATGCATATTTTGATTATGATCAGAGTTAACTTTGTATCTTCTCCCCAGGGAGGTACAGGATCCAATCCTTACAAAGTCTATTTGATTTCGTTTAGACTGAGGACTTATGTGATTTCATGGATGTGAGATGCGTTTAACTGTCATCTTAATTTACGTCAAAGATGAAAAAATGTTGACTTTAAGATTGCACTGTACAGACTGAGTGGCTGATTTGCGTATTCCATTTTGGCTGTTTATACTTATGGCTTGCACATGAGCACGCCCTAATGCAGAAAACATCTAATACAACATGGAAACTTTTCTTGTTTGTGGACATATTGGGTGGTAATGAATTCTTGAATTGAAAAAAGAACCCAACTGAACATTCGATTTACAAACTGTTGCTCAGTATTCGTATTGAATTGAAACACAGTTATGAAAAATTAGGCAATGAATATGGATAGAAACCTCAAAGACGTTGGTCATATTCTTGAAGTTTTCGGTAAAGAACCTTTCAGCAATATCAATTTTCAGAATACAGAGTACCCTGCTACAGGGACTTCGAATTTTGGAGCTTCAATTCACAAAGTTTCTTACACAAAACATGAATCAATGCTTGATGCTCCACCATCTCCAACTTGTTTGGAAGTGCTTATTAATAATTAACCTGTCAAAATAGAGTTAGATACCGGTAGTGCTTGTTCAGTTCAAAATGCAATCAGATCTTTGAGTTGCTTTTGTTTATTTTGTCTCAATTCACCCTGGAATATGCCAAGAAAACATCAAAAGGAGCTGCAAGAGATAAAGTACACAAATAGGAAGGAGAAAATATGTTTTTTGAGCCAAACAAAACAAGGTTGCCCGAAAATTTAGATAATGAAATTCCCTGACCTTTTCCGGAAATATTTTGGTATAATTCTGACAAACGACAATATGTCCGTGTGCACCGATGATTTTGAAATAATAGATCTTTTTTGTGGGTTCCCCCGGTCTTGCCTTGACGCACACATGTGAGCTGAAAGTCCTTTGTGTCAGAGGCTGCAAGAACATCCTGATCAGTTACTCCCCGATAATGTTCATATATTAGGTGACTCTGCTTACCCTGTAACTCCTAGAGTGGTGACACCGTTTAAAAATGATGGGCACTTGACTCCAGAACAGAAGTATTAACTCACTAAAGGCGAAACTATACTAGAAAATCAAGTAAAACTGGTCAAGTAAAGCCAGCAACCTCTGAGACTCTAATACAGCTCCTCGTTTAGTTCAGCTTGCCTCTGCTCTTGCAACGTATTAGCGCAGACGGACCAAGCCACTACTCGATTCTACCTTGCTTCCTTCCATTCACCTTTCACCTTGCCAAGTCGCCGCCTCCGACACCAGTTTGTGCTTGCACACTCCAAGCTAGGAATGGCATTGGCTCCCTAGTCATCCCCCCGGTCGCCGCCTCCGACACCGGTTTGTGCTTTGCACACTCCAAGCTAGGAATGGCACGGGATTGTCCATCCACCATCCTTGTGCAAGGTTAAATTTTTGGAAGGGAGTCCGGTTTCCGGCTCCCACCCCCCTTATTGTCGCCCTCCACTCGCCCATTAGTTTGCCATAGCCCCGCCCGCCATTTTTTGTATTTGTAGTTAAATTCAGTTTGTCATCTTGATTTTGTCAGTTTCAATAAATGCACTCCTTTTGAGAGCTTCCGATGATGGATTTCACGCGCCATTAGATGTTCATCTTTTTCGTGGTTTGAGGAAACTCCAAAAAGCCCATAAGGCGTTTGGTGCATCCCCCCCAAGTCAGCCCCCTCTCTCTTTTCCTCTATTTTGGAGGTGGTTCCTCGGTTTCCCCCTATCCCACCATATTGACTGAGCCCCTCGGTTTTCCCCCATTCAACCACCGTGACTGAGCCCCTCCCCCCCTCTCAGTCTCGTTCACCCATGTAAATGACCTCCTCGATAAATAGGACGTTGTAACTATTTTACCACACTTGATTTAGCCTCAGGATTCCATCAGATTCAAGTACATCCTAATGCAATAGCACAAACTGCATTTTCAACAGAAAACGGACATTACGAATATGTAAGGATGCCATTTGGCTTAGTGAACGCCCCCTCCACCTTTCATCAAGCCATGGACAACATCCTGAGAGGTATACAGAATAAATTCTGTCTAGTTTATATGGATGACATAATTATATTTAGTAACGGACTTCAAGAGCATATACAACACATTGAACAAGTATTTGATAGGTTAAGGCAATTTAATTTCAAAATTCAACTGGATAAATCCGAATTCCTCCGGAAAGAAGTAGAATATTTAGGACACGTAGTGACCGAAACCGGTGTGAAACCACATCCCAAGAAAATAGAAGCTATAAAAAACTATCCCTTGCCAGACTCGGTCACCAAAATCAAAGGATTCCTCGGACTCCTGGGTTATTATCGTAAATTTATCAAGGATTTTGCGGGTCTCACTAAACCATTTACAATTAGATTAAAAAAGGATGCCCCGATAAATATCAATGATCCTGAATATCTCAAATGTTTCGAAGTATGTAAAAACTTATTATGTAACGACCCTATCCTGCAATACCCTAAATTCGACGAACCCTTTGTCCTAACTTGTGAGGCTAGTAATATCTCATTAGGCGCCGTACTTTCCCAAGGAAAAATAGGTAGTGATCTTCCTATTGCATACGCCTCGAGAACCTTGAATGAGACTGAAAGAAGGTATAGCACAACTGAGAGAGAACTATTCGCTCTCATTTGGGCCACCAAAACATTCAAACCCAATACATGGCCTAAATCCTATAGCCCCAGTTTTAAACCAAACAATAATAACCATCATCCTTTTTACAACAACAACGGTAATAATAACTACAGTAGAATCAACAATTTTAAACCTCATAATCCTTCGAACAATAACGGAAACCAAAACCAACTTTCATTGTTATCTGTGATTCTCATCCTACAAAATCTCTGAACACCATTGTAAAGATGCTCATTCTCCTAACAAATAGTGCGGATCAACTTATTAAAATCTGTAATTTGATTCCGTAATAAAAAGTTTCTTCTACCTTGCCAAATTGTTTACAGTTTATTTAAAGAGGAAACACTCAACTTCTGCATAATATGTCAAGGTCAGTTAACTTTTCCGGTCAAGTCCTCGTTGAATGTCTCAAGCCTGAATAATATTGTCAATCTTCCTTCGTCTTATGTCTAACGTACGTGCCTCAATATGGAGAAACACAAGAGGACCTACAAAGCTGTGGAGCATCCTTATCTCAGCAGAGAACCCAAAAGAATTCGATAGAAGAGGAGCTAGATCAGTATCTTGCCAGGCCCCTGATACCAAAAGATGTTAGTCCCTATGATTACTGGGCCAAAGAAGGCAAGCATTCTTTCAAACTTCTGTACGACTGTGCTCGGAAATATTTTCCAATTCCTGCATCAGAAGTAAACAGAGAGCACCAATTTTCAACTGCTGGCCTCATTTTGACAGATCTGGAAGCTTCTTTGTATCCTCAGAATTTAGGAATTTTAACTTTCTTACATGAAAATATGACTTGCTATGTATAATTTACATAGCATAGGTATGCATTACATATTTTATGTAAGAAAGTTCTTTTGTATGGTCTTTCATGCAAGTCAATAGAGTTACCTTTTGTTAACTTTTTATCAAGTATTTATTTGTGTTTTTCTTTTAGTCAATACTCTAGTATTTATATGACTTAATGCGAACTCATCATATTTCATTCTTTCCCTAATTTTTCAATGTTTGAGATTGCTCATTTTTGTTGATCTCATTTTTTATTTTCCTTAATGAATTATTATCTTAAAATTTATTTCGGTAATTCTGCATTTTTTCTCTCCACAGTATATCAGAATTTGTGCAAAAACGTTGCCCAATTAAATATCTAATAAATTAATCAATTTATTTCTGATTCTGTTTCTACTGCGATCTTATGCCCAAACCTGGGAAAAATTTAGAAACTATGCTTGAGAGGTTGTTGATTTTAGAAAATCGAACGACCAACCATTCCAAACTTGGCTGCTTGTCAATGGACTGTTTGAAGAAATAGTCACAATACACGACCTACTGATCTGGTCCAATAAAGCTTTCAACATTAAAGCTACGAAGGACATCTCTAGCGGCCTCTCATGTTGAATCTAGTCAGGATACACCCCATTATTCATACCCTAGAACATGTGGCTTACCTACCAAACTGATGAAGCAGGTCTTAATGGTGCTAGGACTTATCACATTTGTAGACCTCTTAAACGATAGAACATACAGCTAACTTTCTTGGCATTTCCATGTAATTGAGACACAAGATAGGCGATGAAATGATCGTTGAATGGATGTAAAACCACCCATAACATGGAAAAGCAACATTGGGCATACAAGAAGACTATTCGCTACAAAATTTGTACATTTTGGCTACAGAATTTTCTAAAATCATATTTTAAGTACTTGAAAGTATATACATTCGATTTTTGGAGCTACATCTCAAAAAAAAGATCAAGTTGATGTCTCAAAACTTTTTGTAGACAGCTTTGAAAACAAAAGCAGATGCTGGTTTTAGTTGTTGCTTTAAATTAGAAATGAGGAACTGAAAAGATTTGACACAATTTGCCTACATATTGCTTCATTTTATTGCTACACTAACTACTGGTGTTGTTTAAAATTAACTCTGGTTTGACTCAGCAATTAGATATTGAGATCATTTACCAATCAAAGTATGCACTCCCTTGGAAGGGGTTTCTGGGTGACTTACGATTGTACCCATCATCCTAATATTTTTCTCATCAAATAGACAAGCATCCATTCCAGATTCTTAATTCTAAGGTACACGTAAAAATTATAGCTCAGCCTTCTCCCAAAATAATAATGATAAAATTACCTAAAATAAAATTTAATTTACCTACACAGCCAGATCACAGGATCACTAAATTAGTAAAAAATTAACTAAAGGGGTTGTTTAGCGACTGATTTGTGGTGAAATCTTTGCTGGCTGCAGCAAATAGAAAACAAACAATTGAGGACTGACTCTTTGCATGGAAAATTCTTGTAAATCTTAAAGTAAAGATTTAGGATTGGGAAAAATAGACGGTTTCCCCAGAAACTGCTTTACCCCTTGAGAATATTCACTGCAGAAAACAGAGATCACTATAATTTTGTTTAAATCGAAATTTGTTACTGACGAAATTGAGGGTCACTTAATCACAAATGTTGAGCTACCATGAATAAAAATGAATTCACGGCAATGAAATTTCTGGTAAGCTTTTGCAGCATTAAAAGTAACAGTTTTTCTTGGACTAACATTGAAGTAACACTGAACAGCATAAATTTTGAATTTCTTAATATTTCTACAGCTTGTTCGCCGCTTTGAAAGCCTAAACAAGGAATTTACAGAAAAAATCAAAGAGAATAATAACAATGACACATTCTTTTCCACAATGCTGGCTAACGAACTTCCGGCAATGCTATTGACAATGTAAAAGTTTACAGTCTTCAAGATGGAACTAAACATTTCGGCATGTAGTTCCAGATTTGATTGAGAACCAGTGAAAAATTTTAAAAAAATGATCAGACTTACAGTAATTTCACTCTAACACATTCGCACTTTCTTTCAGACAGGCACAGCCACAACCTGTGGGACACATTTCTTCCTTCTTGAACCAGTCCAGTAAGTGGTTAGTGTGCCCTCCATGGCCGCAAACAAGACAAAAGTTGGTGGATCCTAGAAGGCCGGACAAAATTTACAAAATAAGAAACAGCAGATAAAATTTGGTTGGATGGATGCAATCATTAATTGGTTCAGTAAAAAATACTTCACTTGAAGCTAATCTAGAGGGAAAATTATGAAAATTCAATCTATAATTAATGACAGGGTTTCAATAATTTCTTCGTGTTTCTATTCCCCCACTTTCACTTGACTTATTTTACTTTCCTCTGGGTCCAAGATCTTCAAGTTCCCCGGCATTCTCAGACCTTTGAACGGAACTTCCACTTAGATTGTTTTTTGTTTTAATTACGCTGACTTTGAATAACCAAGATGGAAATTCTACGTTTAGAGATTTAAATTATGGATAAAGGAACTTGAAAGTTGTATACGCTATCTTGAATGGAACTGGCTGAAGTGGCACGAAATGTGACTCACAAAATTCCTTGACTTTCCCTAAGAATTGCCTGACTTTTCCCAACTTTGCCAGGTTGCTATTAATTTCCTGAATACGTTTTCAAAACAGCCAGAGACTTTGATTGACAGTTCTTGATACAAATCCTTTACCCTCTTTTACTTCAATAAAAAAAACATTATGTACTGAGAAAACAAAAAATTGAAAAGAGACAGGAAATAAGAAAAATTGAAAGGTCAAAAAATTGACTCTGAGGGGAGAGAGAAGTCCCCCCCCCCTTCCAGATCGTTTTGCAGATTCATTTCTTGTGATGCACACTTCATATCTTCCCTCAAAATGTCACACAAATATGAAATTAAGTATGATCATAAAATACCTGCCGCTAGCTAAAATCACATGGTCTTTTCATCCATGTAATAATTCCTGTGAAAGACAGTCCGACGACAAAGTAAGGACCACAGCACTGCCTTGGGCTTTGATGCCAATACTAATCACACACCACCACGTTTGTTGGGCCATTATGCTCTTGACCCGCAGAGAAACATCACTATCTCACTATCGCTAATGCATGCATTTCTGAGGGATATCTTGCAAAATATTCGATATTTTACATAAATATTCAAAATTGAGACCAATTAGTCAACCAAATTTTGAAATTCGAGGTCTGAGGTTTCAGTTTGGATTGAATACCAGAGAAAATGTTTCAATTCGGATATTCGCCCAGCCCTAATTTTTTCAGTTACCTACAAACAATTCTATGTGCATATTTGTTCACACAAACTACTTCTATCTTCTCTTTTCCCCTATTTGCATACAGCTCACCAAGAATTTTGAGCAATCAATACAATAAAACTACTACCACTTCCCCCTCAAAACTAGAAACTCGGAGGAATCATCTTCAAGTAAAAACTTGCAGATTAAACAAGAGAAAAGGAAATTACATTAGAAAAATATTAATCTAAGGATATAGATGATGTAGGTCCGCAACCACATATTTCTTTTGCGATGTTTGAAAATCTCGGCCTTTATATTATTTTTTTTAAAGGAGAACAGAGTGACATCATTCCTCGAAGTTTTTGCAGGATTTTTTTTCACATAGAGAAGAAAAACTACGGCAGCTTTACAGAATTGCCGTTGAGTAGTTTTCCGTTTAAAAAATAAAGTATGGCAGGAAGTCTGCGACGCCGCAAACCGAGATACGTGGTTGCAGACTTATACTGTCGATATGACTTTCATTCTGAGATGAGGACCAAAGTGTTTTAAGAAAAGAGGAGAGAATCATTGATAACTTTACCTCTTACAGATAAGTGACAAATAACACATTGGAGAGGGAGAGCTTTGCATGTGGAGCAGTACGAATCGCGAATTGACTGTCTACAACTTGGACACTCCGTTACAAACTCAATGCCCTTGTGAGTCTCACTTGGCGAAGAGATATACTTGAGAACCATGCAACGAGCATCTAACAGTTGCCACCGGTGTAAAAGCTCAGCATAAGCTTTTTTATACTCATCATACAGCCTGGAATTACTGTCTTCTAAAATCCTGCAAGAAAAATGTTTCAAATTACCTACACATAATGTCCATTTTTAAATTGAGAGATATTACGAGTATGAATGGTTACATTCTTTACAACATGTGTAAAATAATTCATTATGAGTCTTCTCATTGTAAGGAGCGAAGATACCAATTTCGACTTTAACTTCTCACAGAAGGTACGTTCAACTCTATTGAGAAAAACGAGTGAACTATAGAAACAGATAACATCTGATTTCCTGTGGAAATACACAGGAAACATTCATCAGATTGTCAAGTTCCTATTAACTTTCATACAACAACCGAGAGGTTCCCTCATTTTCTACCTTTTTTGGGGCAATTGACAACCTACTTTCATGAGTCTCCATTCTTATGAGTCTAACTTTCATGGAGTCTTCACCTCTAATGAGGTGAAAAATGTAAAGTAGATGAAAAATTGACTTTTTTTTTATTTACAAATTTATTTTTGTACCAAGGAACTGCACTTGTAACTCGAGAAAACCGATTACATTTAGGGCTGTGCAAATATGTTTTTTTTTATGTCAAATCGAATCAAGTATCTTGAAAAAGTTTCAAATTCGAATAGAATATTTTTAGTTTTTGCCTATTTTTGATCAAAACCAACCTCTGTGTTGGTCGAAGTAAAAATCGAATAAATAATTGTTTTCCTTTCTACTTAACATTCAAATTTTGAATAAAGAAATCACTAAAATAGATAAAAAGATTAAGAATTAATCAATTCATTGAAATATCAAATGGTTTTGCATACATTTTGATGTGCTGGGGCAAGAAAAGAAGGGAGAGAAAATTTTTTCCTTTAATCAAGGACGAGCAATTAATTGAATTGTCGCAGAATTGTAAAACTGCTGCTTTCTAACCAAAAATCAGATTTTATTCAGATTTACCTCACATCAGTGCTGATCTTGCAAAGACTGTCTGGCAACATTGTAAAGACCGCGATGCCACACGGGGCAGAGGAGGATAGGTTATGAAGCTTTGTACGCCCATTTGTACGCCATGGTGATGATGTATTAAGTGGAACTCAAGTGGCACGAATTTTGAATTGACCCGCCTATTGCCAGTGCTGTGCGCTGGATGAGCATATGAAACGTTGGTCTTTGTTTATTTAACCTCGAAACAAGTAGTTTGAACTGCGTGCCAGATCGAGTTCCTACTGGTGGGTCATCAATATGGCCGGATGTACCAATATTGACGAATATTCGGTCTTTCTCTTGGAGATTTGAAATGTTTTCAATGTGGTCCATTAATTTAATTATTCAAGGTTTCTAAGTTCGAGTTCGAATTGAATAATGGAAAAATTATTTGATCTCGAATATTCGAGATTTTCAAAAATTCGCACAGCCCTAATTACATTGATTGCTAATATTTGATACATTAATTAGAATACAGAAAAATTAATATGCCCCGGCGGATAAGTGCCATAAAATCATTCAATGGGCCTGTTGCATGCAAGAGATACAGCCGTGCGAATAGACTTTTCAGAGGTTAAATGACACGAAAATTACGATGGTCACATTAAAAAAGTCTGAAATACACTCCTCACTGCGCAATTTGCGTTGTTAGGAACGCGCTTTTTCAAATTTCCCGCGTCTGGGGGCAGTTTTCTAACGGAAACAATTAACGGCCACTCGCGGCTATTTCCGGTCAACTAAAACTGACAACGTAACCTAAAAATCGGAGCTCGTGATATCGTGAAATGAAATGTAGAAAGATTGCGTTAAAAGTTGATCGATTTGGTTACCGCATAAAGCGTATATGGACCACTATAAGAGATCACGTTGGGTTTGTAAACAAACTGAAGGAAAAAATAACAACAACGACTCGGCATCTTCCGGAAATCACCGAGCCCGCCGTTTGCTCGTTTTCGGTGATTAGAAAACTGCCCCCAGACGCGGGAAATTTGAAAAAGCGCGTTTCTAACAACGCAAATTGCGCAGTAAGGAGTGTACTTCAGACTTTTTTAATGTGACCATCGTAATTTTCGTGTCATTTAACCTCTAAGAAGACTATTCGCGCAGCTGTATCTCTTGCATGCAACAGGCCCATCACACATCAAGCCATTATGTGGCAGAAGGAAAAGTTCTAGCCAGCGAACGATGCCAGCACAACTTACCTGAATTTTTCACCGCCATCAGTTTCTGATACTTCTCTATGCTCGACGATATTCTGCAGCATGAGAAGATCATCTAATGATTCTGACCAGGAATTAGAGCGATTTTGTTTTTTAGGATTGCTCGTCCATCCTTCTAAGGTCATATCTGCTTGATGAACAGTGTGATATGAGGACCCTCCTCCAGACTAGAAAAATTAGAAACAAAAAAGATCAGACATACAGCAAGAATAACTTAGTTTCAGACCATTTTTGTCTTAATCTTTCAACAAAAACTTTTTTCTTCTTTCACGTTCATCATCAGCTAGAATTAAATTGGAAATATGAAAAAACTTGATTACAGGGTGACTTTTTGCAACTTACTATCACCAATTAAGTTTGATAGGTTGAAAAAATATCACTAGCCTACGTTGCCAAACGTTGCTACGATTACACAACTTTTCCATTTCGATTCTTGCCCATAGAATGTACTCATTTTTAATGTAATATTATTCCAAAGAAAATGAGAGACACTAAAATGTATGCTGGAGAGTACAAGACTCCAGTGGTACAGATTGGTATTCAGAAATCACACTCTAGGCTGTTACAAAGTCCAGAAAATGAAATTCCTTAAAGGCATCTTCCACACCTAGACGTGCAACAATAGTTGTTAAAAAAAAACACATTGTAGAAAGCCAATAAAGGTGATTCGACAATTTTTCGCTGATGCTTTCGTCACAGCCCCTGACATTTCCCCGTTTTCACTGACTGTGGCAACCATGCACAATTGTGATATTCTCAGTATCACTGAATTAGAAAAGCACATGTTTTCATGGCAGGACAATAGCTGTTCACAATAAAAATACATTTTCATAAAAAAAGAGAAACCCGATTGGGGTGCAAGTTTGTTGAAGAAGCTTACTCTCCGAGCTGGAAGTAAGAATCGTAGTTTTTCATTGTACAATTTGTGAGTTTCGTTGAATACAGAATTATATTTTGATGGATGAATCTTGTATAATATTAATAATATTACGATTGGTCCAAACATCAATTCATTACGTTCAGTAAGGACTAATAATGGAGTACTGTTATTTTAAAAACATGTTTTCACTACCTGTATACATTGTTGAATGATGTTCTACACAAGAAACGCCTTTGTACCTGCAGAGTTTAACTGAGTTAAGTCAACTATCCTTGCCTTGCACGAAACACAATGTTTCTTTATCTTCTAAATAGCTTTCAACTGTTGACTTTCACTTAATTCAATAGTGACAATAATTTCTACTGATTGAGGTTAGAAAAAAGAAAAAAAACTCACAAGGCGATAGGACTAATTACACTACTCTTAGGAAATTACATCTTTAATGATCCTTCCAGAAGGTTTTCCGAACTAATGCGCACTTCAGAAAGTAAACAACAGAAAAAATTCTCAAGACTGATATTTCAATGACTTATACATCTGCTAAATTATTCCATTTTTTTGGATCAGTCAAGCTTGGAGGGAACACATAAACTATAAACTGAAATTTAACTTCGATAAAAAGATACATGAGCCCTTGCATAGTTGAAAAACAAACACACAAAAGTTCTTGGTAACCACTGATACATGGTAATTTTGTTAAGTTTACGTGTCTGTGCAAGCGGTGCAAGTTTTCTGCCCTTCAAAGTGAGTATGTACTTTCATGAGTTCAAAAAAGTTATTACATGCAAAGCTATATTGATGCACCCTCTAAAAGCCTAATCATGAGTTGAAATATACATCTAAACAATAAGAAAATAACTCAAAATACATTGTTCATTAAAACCAATTTTGAAGTATATCAAAATTTTTCAATTTTTTTTTACTGTAGGCAATCATTTCACTGAATGTGACAGAACCTTTTTTTAAAAAAAAAAAAAAATTAAGTACCTGCTGAACATTTTTGAACGATGGACCACAAGACATGGTATGAATTTAAGCTTTCTGGTATACTTATCCTCTTCAAAATTTTACGTAAAACACTATTTTGTGACAAAAATTACTGAAATCAACTCCCGGCTAAGATATAAAGAGTTTCATTTTGGATTCCTTACCAAAGTTTGAACTGTCTCCTCACATGAAAAACCAGGGTCCAATTTTACTCAAGTAGATTATTGTTTTTTTAATGAGCAGAAAGTTTGAATTCATGAATCAAAGAGCGTTAATAGCTTTGCTGAGGAATACTTTCTGTGATTTTTGCTGTGCAAATCACATTATACATGGAATTTTGATGAGAAAGTATATGTTAGAATGCTTCCTTTTCTAGTGGTCCATCTCAATGTGCTTTCTGTTGTATTTACTTTACCCACTGCAAAATCTAGGCGCTGCCAGTTTAATTTACTTATAGTGATTAAAATCTGACACCACCTTCCAGTGCACACAAAAAGTACATATGAAGGAAAATTGTTAAATATCCAGCTGGGAGAGACTTATTTTAGACCTCAAATCTTTGTTGTTGTGCTTCGGTAAGAAAGATAGGAATATTCTTAGGGTTGGGAGCCTTTACAAAAACCCAAAAATAGAATCATTGAAGTAGTTCCTTAGTTTCCGATTTGAAAGAATAAAAGGTGATTCAAAAATCAGACCAGCGCTAACACACATTGCATCAAAGTAAAAAGAAAATGCTGGTCAAAACATGTACACAAACAAGGGGCAAGAGAAGAAGGGGAGATACAGAAACGCAGCCAACAATTTTTAACACATTGAAAATTTACGAAAAATCAACACAGAAATGCAAAGGATCAAAAACCAAATTCAGCAGGCTAATTTCATGACACTTATCTATCTTTTTCTTTCTTTTTTTCCCCCTGGAGGAGCAGGAGGTTTCGGCAGATTTCTTATGAAACCTCTTAGATTAAAACAGAGAAGGATTCCAAAAGCAAGGGTGGATCTTGATTCTTGACTTCTTAATAATGCAGCAAGTGAAAAAAAAATTGAATGATTGGACGTATTTAAAAAAAATGAAATGAGCCTAACTGCATTTCATGTTGCCTTATTTTCTCTTATGTTTTATTTTTGTAATGGAGAACAAAACTGCTTAACACCTTCAAACTTTCTGTGAATTTACCCTGAATTATGAAGAATATTCTCACATTTGAAGTTTCGGTGTTGCTTAGTTTACTGATATAAAATAAAACATCACAAAAATTAGATACCGCTTGATGTAGTTAGGTTGTTTCTAGTGAAATATGTATGCCCAATTGTTTTTGAGAAATAGGATATTTAATTGTATTTTGCAACTTGCTGTTTATATGTACTTCCTTCTTAGGTAAATGACGTCTGCTCTATGGGTGCAAGTTTTGAATTAAAAACTTTACACGCAGCAAAATGGCAAACCTGTTGTTTAGTGATTTAATTTGATCAAGAAGCAATGAAATGAACATGGCACATATTTCCTTAAGATTCACTAGATTTTTGAAAGATTTGTCCATACTTTACACACCACTGATATCAAGTCACTACAACACTCGTTTTTCTTCAGTCTTTGATTTTGCGAGTAGTGAGTGGTGCAAAAGCAGTTAAATTAAAAAAGAAATCTCGGAAAAAATGTCATATTTACTGTTGAAAAATGATTTAACAAATTTTAGAAATTCAATTCTTCTCTCATTTAAAGAAAGAAAAAGAAAAAAAATCAAGAATCTCGACCCGTGCTGTTAACAGTAGCATCTAGATCTAAGAACAATGCATGAAATTATTGCTGGTTATTACCTTCAGCCACCATTTTCCCAGCGTAATACGCTAAAAATCAAACAAAAGAGCTGAAGAACTAACCCAAATAAAAAGATCAGATCACACAAAAGAGGTAAATAGATGGGAAGTTGAAGCGATACTTCAAAAATGTAAACTTTCACGTTCATTCTTGTGAAGTACGATTTGTAAATGAAGAGACACAACTTGAGGTTGTTTAAAAGAAACGTTGACTGGAAAAAAGTTCTGTCAAGGAAAATCTTTTCAACCAATTCTTTGACTCATGCTAGTAGCATATAACCTTCTGATAAGCTTTGTCAGCTTGTAGACCAATCCAAACAGATCAGTCACTGTGAAACCTCTTAGAATCCACTCCCTGCTTGATCAACGTTTGACCACAGCCGGTAGGACGTAAAATTAGCATGTTCTGATGTGTAACGCAGTGAAATTTAATAAGGCTCAGATTTCAACTTTAAAAATAGTGTTTCAGCTACTTCAAGCTTTTGCCCTTGTTGAATAATCTTAATTAATTTTTACTTAATTAATATATGTTAATTTTATCAGTTAATCATTTGATGATTTCTTTCAATGCCGTATGCATTTTTTTGGCTAATACAGTGGTAGGAGGCTGACACGAAAAGGTATAAAATTATCTATTTGAAGGGTGCATCTTTAAATTACAATTTAAATAAAAATGAAATTTAGGTTATTCATATTAAAATATTCAAAGCAAGATACTTACATGAGATGACTTATGAGGATGATGAATTTTAGAATCTTGATGTTCTGTTTTGGTTCCAAAAGCACAACACAACATTGCTGCAGTTTGAACATCATGCTGTTGACTATAGTGACTAATCCTGAAAAATAAAGTATTTGAGTATTGGAAGAAAAGAGTGAACATTGGTAAGTTTACACGAATACAAGAAAATAATTCACTGACTGAAAAATATTAGCGGAAACTAGTTTTCAATATGAAATTCTTCATCAAATAAAGCAATTCATTCACAGCCTTTTTCAATCACCGGTGACAATGAAAAAGTGCCTGCAGACATGAGAAAGAACCCAGCATACTAATGGGAGCTTACTGGCTCTATCATGAAGTTTATCATAGGGTCAAAGCCAAAAATCAAGCGGCTTGGTCAGGTAGGAACTGAGATATTCAGGATTAAACAAGCCGATTGTTGTGCTCTCTTGCCTTCACGCGCAGTTAGGTGCTTATAGGCTCTGCTGGTACAAATACTGTTTGCTTCTCTTCCCTCGCATCTCTTGATTCTGTTTCAGATTTGACCAACATGGCAAAAAATTCGTCCAACTTTATGATAGTCTATTATAGTTTCATCAAAATATACCAAAAGCTAGTAAGCCTCCTGCAGTGTGCAGGGTTCTTTAAAAATGTATGATATGGGTTACTTTAATTTTATGTGTTAAGTTTATGAGACATTTCTGGTACGCTGAATGAGAATCTCATGCATTTCTACTTTGAAAAGTCCTCTCGTGTGACTCTTTTGTGTGCGAGAGGCTACTATGAGAAAAAGAATAAATCAACCGTAAGATGAGGAATTTTAATTACTTACAAGGAATGAATCATGTTTCGGGTGAACGGGTGAGCACTCCATGGAGGTTCATCATCCAAGGAGTCATTTGATTGCATAGGGGGCGTTGAGGCTAAAGATGCTAGGGTCCACATTTGGACTAAGTCTCTACGACCGACAGATGCAGCCGCTTGGGCATTCCGCTGGCACATTGAAACTATATCATGATTATCCAGACTGTAAAATCAAGAAACTTGGCGTTAGAAGGAAACAAAATAACATCGAGTGACAATGAGTCAACATTGCGGATGTTAAAAAACAAATAACACCAAAGATTCAATTACTGCAACCAGAATAGGAATCAAGATAACAACTGGGTCTTCCAGACGACTATGTCAAATCCCAAATTTACTCACACCCAAATTCCAGATTGGTACCCTTTGTTCCCTCAACAATACATTAACATCACAATATTACAGTAATGCAATTGATCTGAAGTTAATTGGAATAAATCTTGCACCCAATCTTATAATCCTCAGTAGTAGATAACTTTCCCTTCACTTTTCTCTCAGGTTTAGGACTGATCCTGCTAAGAGTGCAATTAAAGATGGTTTTCAAGTTACATTTCAATCTAAAGTAACGTTATTCATACTCATAAATCCGAGCATGATTCGCATATATACTTAAATGCGCAAAAAAGCAATAAATTGAATGAAAAGAGCAAATAATAAAGCTAATCATCAAAGCATAAAATAAAAAATATAATGATTCAGCCGGTATTATTGTGTTACTAGAATATTTTGTTGAAAAATACGTCTCAAAATCAAAATGTTTCTCACATTATTTTGTGCCCAGCTAAATTATTCTCTAGAAATTACAACCTCAGACCCTTCGATAAAATAACTATTTACTTAGTACATTCAAAATTCGAGGAAAATTTGCATACAATAAATTTCTTCTCACAGGAAAATTGAAAAAATATTGGCAATGCTCTCCTCATATGAGAAGAATTATTACAGTCCAATCAGCAACAGTCACCAAAAAAATGTCTTTACCAATCGCCAATAGTCATTGACAGGGAACGACGCAACCTGATAAATATTGAAAGTTCCACTTACACGTAACGTTCTGCCAGTTGCCGGTTGGCTAAAAACAGAGCTGAGACATCGTAAACATGCACAGCAAACTTTATCATCTTAACTGGAGAAGTTGTTATTCCAGGGACTCCTCTCCTATTCACATGTAAGTTTCGTAATCTGATGGGAGGTTTTGTCTTCTGCAAAAGAAAACAAGGAATTGTAAAATATTTTAGACTGGTGTGAAATGAGTCAATTCTGCATATTTTTAGCTGTTACTTAGCAGTAGGACTACTGGAATTCAATCACCAACTTAGCCTTATACGCATATCCTTCATGCACTGATTAGTCTCGTGTATTGAGATAATTTGTTAGAGCGATTCAGTTTTGGTTAAACTGAAATTTGAAGTATTAAATTAATTGACTTCAAACTCTGGGCTTACCTTGATATTTCAAATTTCTGCTTGTGACTTTGAAGTTACTATACCAACCAAAATATTTGCAATTTATTTAAAATGAAAATAGAAGGAAACCTCATGAAAACGTTGTAGGCCTTCGATACACGTGTAAAATGTCACGCCATCTTTCTATGGCCTTTTTCAGTTTTTATTTCATCAAAATAGATTACGTATTGTTATTTGTAACTATCCACAGGTTTTTGGAGGCAAATTTCTTTTATACAGCCATTCTTGTCAAATTGGGTAGGGTAATCGGATTTTGAGATGATGACATAAAATGTTTTTTAGTGTCTTCAAGAACGTGTATCAAGCAGTTCAGTTTTGTGCCAATAAAAAATGTAAAATAATATTAAAGTCTAGCAATTTCATGCCCTGAACCTGGAAATAATAGATGAGAACTTTTAATGGATTGGCCTTGAAATTACGATTTTTCAACTGTAAGCTACAAACCACTGTTGCTCCTGTTTGATCTTGCATTTTTAAGTTTTTTTCAACCCAAAATTCATAGAACGCTCTTCCATGCTCCCGCATCAATTTCAGTTTATGGATTACGGTCCTCTTATCAGGGTGCAGTCCTATTATATTTCATTTTACAGCCCAAAAAACAATGGCAGGCAATGTGTTGATTGTATGTTAATAATTCCTAACTTCCTAGAATAATTGAAATACAAGTAAGACTTTTTATTAGTCTGATGGTTAAATACAAAAATCTAATTATGATCAGAAATTGCATATAACTTACCCTATCCTGAAAATAGTACGCTGACAAAGTATTTCCTGCCTGCAGTAAAGAAGGAGGATTGAAACCACCAAGAGCGGAAAGAGCACGCGGTGTGAGGGACTCTGGTTTGGATGACATTTTCTTAGCAGTGGAAGGTCTACAAAAGCACACTAGAATCCCTAAAAGCAAAAAAAGAAAGACAGCTTTTAGAAAAAAATAATTAGAAACAAACTTGGCTTACTTAGTTGGAACAAATTTGACTCTTTGATATGTTCACCATTAATTAATTTTTAAGACTTCCTTGCTGCTCAACAGTTGTAGATGGCCCTCAATGTCTTAAAAATGATCTGAAAGCAAACTCCAAGCAATTGGCTTCTGCAGAGTTTCTCTAATGAGCACACTGCTGTTGGCAATATTGCAAACTGTTTTGTAATTCTGAGGGTGGATCATTTATTTGAAAGTAGATAACTTAATGCAATTGAATGGCATTAAAAGAAGTGATTTCTAAAAAAGGACCCCGGTTCATTTTCATAAAGTTTTCAAGAGGGTAAAAATAAGATGAAAGGCCAAAATTTAATTTCTAACAGGGTATTAAAAGGATGATAGTTACTTTAAACATAATATTTTGCAGCGAGTATCATTATTGTTGCTTCCTCTTTTGACATTTGATGATCCTTTTTATTACATGCATGTTTATCTTTTGTGCTTGGCCTACCATTCGAGCAGCTGCAAAGGTGAAACAAAGTTGCGGTGCGAGTAGCTAGATCTTAAAATAAAAAATACACATTCATAACAACAAATAACCGGAAGCAAAGTTGAGAGGAACTTACCGACATTACAAAATTTAGCACCAGAAGTACGAGGAAAAGGAACAAATGCATCCTGAAAACTGCTAAAAATATTCTGCCGCTCCATTGAAGATATGACAGATTTCATGGTATTCTTATCATTCTCTTCGTTTTGATAGATCTGAAAAATTAATGTGAGTGAGTAGTACCAAAAAACTTCGTAAAAACCCATGTTTTGGTGTAGGTCCATTATTTTTCTTAATTGCTTTCAAACAGGGAAAACTATTTTATGAAAAATAATACTTTACTTCTACAGATTGCATGCAATTTACTAAAAACAACTGACAATCTTTAAGATACTACTTAACTTGAAGCAATTGAAATTTGTAAAACATCAAACTACATTTTTTAAATTACTCTTGTTAAATTACCCTCATACAATCCAACGAATGAATACCTGATTCAAGATTACTGTTTAATTAAGTAAATATAGGGAAATAATTTGGTAAGAGAAAGTAACTTACTGTTTCTAAAGTTGAAACGAGCTGTCGAAGACAGGGTTCTAAACATGTCCTATTCTTCTTCACTCGTTGAATTGCTGTTAATTTTAACACCTGCAGAAAAACCCAATACGGATTAGTTTTCCCAAAGACAAAGACAAAAACGTAAAAAAAAGAGACGGAAAAAATAAGTAAAGAAGGAGGGAAAATGAAACCGCATCTGGCCGATGCCCAATTATAGTCTGGCTAACACTACACACTTTGCGACCACTCAAAACTGCTCCTCACCTGCCATTTTAGATTGCCTTGATTATAGTTAAGACTTCTAATTGTCCTGTGAATATACCTCTTTGGTAAGAAACTATTTCCACTGGAGTAATTTTATACAAAACAAATCTTAAGAGTCTTTCCGCATGGAGGTTTTAAGGAAATTTTTTACTTTCCTTGAGGTCAAGCCTATTTTTCAACGTTTTGTCAGCTATTAAAGCGAGCATTTGAACAGAGAGTTGAGCTGAAATAGGGTCAACGATTTTAACTTAAACTGAGCATACAAAGAAAGGTTCATCTCTTTCGACAATGAAATTCAGAGGGTCACATTCTGATGATATAAGTCTCAGGATTAGCAAGAAGATGTTGCAGCTCCTTCAGTTCAATGAACGATGAAGAGAGAAGAGTCATTGATCTCTGCTTTACTTCTGAGAAACTGAGGAGTGCAAATAAACGATTATGCACTTTGCATATGCTACGGTGAGAAAAAGAAGTTTAGTAAATAGTTTTAGGGAGTACTTACTTTTAAAATCTTTGTCTTATTAATATTATCTATATTAGTTGCAGGTCCCAGTTGAAAAACAGGAGCAGCATCAAAAGGATACGAGGGAGGAAATGAGATCAATAATTCGACTATGTGACTATAGAAAACGGCTGTGAGAGCACAATACCTATTGATTACGTCCATCTGCAAAATTAAAGACAAATATCCTGATAAAGAAAAGATAAATTATGACTATCTTTGGTAAACATTTTGCAGGGTTAGAAATGTTGAATAGAATCCTGTTTTCAAAAAAATATGGAAAGTAATTTTATCATTTTGCTTATTTAAAAAAAAAAAAAAAAAGTAGTAATTTAGAACACTGCAAAGACTTTGTAGGTATAGTTTCATTAAAGCCACGATTCGAGATAAATTATGCTTCGCAGAAAATTCAATTTCACATTTCTATTTTTCATTTCATTTTTTAAAGAGATTTGCAAACAGCACACTCAAGGTGACGTTTGAATAACTGTCAAAAAGTTTTGTCGAAAGGGCTCTTTGGAATTAAATTCTGAACACTTACCTTTTCGAATTGAATATTATTGCTATTCACACTGACTAGAGAAAATTCTTGTTGCAGAGTTTTCGGCTGATGAGAATATTTGATAGACGGCTCCTGATCATCAGAAAATTTGTCCGACGATACCTCTAAACTTGAGCAATCGCTGCCTGTCAGAACGCCATTCACTTCCTCCACTGTAAATACCAAGAAACAGTAGTACGAAAATGATTTAAATCAGCAGTAGTTAGGATACATATTCAAGATGAATTTAAACACAGTTTTCAATGTTATTCAGCAATTCAGGAGAGAGAGTACTTCGGTGCTAAAAAACTTTCCTTTAAAGTTGAATTATGGGACAACAGCTAAAGGTGGAGTTGTACTAACATTTAGGGCAAAACATACTAGAAAATCTCAAATCAAACTGATGATAGGGTGATTGAAAATTTGCAGTTTAACAAAAGTAGTTCAAAATAATAAGTACTTAGCTGTAATCATTACTCGCCCATTTGACTTTTGACAACAAAGTCTCTGAGCGATTGAAAAAATTATACTCAATTACACTCTCAGAGGCTTTCTCCTCTCTAGCTATGATTGAGAATCAAAGCCAGTGGAGGAAAGGGAAATGATTCATCGTGCACGGGAGAAAAAATTCTACCTCTTCACAAACGTGTGCAGCAAAGTGAAACAGAAAATCTTGCATTTCCATCAAGAAATCAGCAACACCTTTTTTTTTTTTTTTTTGCTTTATGCTATCTGACAAAAAACTTATTAAGATTCTTGCATGAGAGTAACAAAAAATACAATGGGTGGGCCAAAGATAAACCATTCGAAATTTCACGGTATCAAAACAGTCAGTTTATATTCATTACCATTAAAAGTCACCCACAGATTGGTTTTTTGCAAACCAAGGTATACACTCTTTAGTTTTGCTAGGGAAACTTGGTTTGTTAACAGTCTAAAGCGATTGAAACTTACCGATTGTGGTGCCATTGGACATAATTTCTGATTCATCTGCCGAGCTCAAAGTAGGTTCAGAATCACACTGGTGTCCACACAGCTGCAAGTGAGACCAAAATTAAATTAAAAAATAAATCAGAGATTTGCAGCAAAAGAATAAATAATTAAATTAGCTCTCCTCCGTAATTCTTTATGAATTGATGCATAGAGAGTAAATGAGAGTGGTAGCATTTCTGATATCTTGGAGAGAGGTCAATAGCGTAAGAGGATACAGACTTATTCATGATCGTTTTTCTCGAAAATGCTATGAATCATGGAAGGAAGTCAGCTCAAAGCTGTCCAAAATTATATTTTTAGTCATCTTTTGCTTACGCAACTTCCTAAGTTCAATATTAACTGAGAAATCGCGCTTTGAAAAGTTGGGTTTTTGACGTCATCCACTGCGGTAGTAATACCCTTGGTTTCTTCCTCTTCCGCTCGATCAGTAATGCAGAGGGCGCAACGCGAAACTCCAATGACGTTAAACGTTCATTTTGCACTTTTTGAGCATGTTTTTTGTCTTTTGCATGAAATTTTGTTGAAGAAACGTATTACGGTGCTTTACATTTTGCCCTCTCTAATGATCCCTTACTTCCCATAAAAAATTTCAACAGCTCTATAGAATCCTTCAATGATAAGAAATTTAGAAACCAATCTACCATTCTCATCCGGAAGTTGTCTACCCCCAATTGAAAATTAATTTTTGGGGAGAGAAATGATTGTCAATCCTTTAAATTTTCAGATACATCAGATCAGCGAGCAAATAAAATTCTCTTAAAAATTTGAAGGAAAATGTGCATCGATTCTAAAAAAAATACCGTTTTTAAATGTTATGAATCAATGAATGATCTGTATGTCCACCCTCTGACAGAAAACTTTAAGTATGAAAATGGGAAGTCAATTTAACGGAAAAATTTTAACTTTCGGAAGTTTTTTAGTCATGAATAAACATTAAATCGAAAGGAATCGAACATAATTACCTCTTGCAAAAAGGGCTCTATTTGCCATATCCTGAGAGTTTGATCCTTCGACCAAGTTATTAACTGATAATCGGTGTCTGAAAAACAACAAAAAAATAATACCATGAAAAAGGATGAAATAACACGGAGACCACTTCTGTCGTTCCTCTAGATTAATTTGACTATGCAGTCGTCATCATATTCAAACTGTACTGAAATATTTTATTTAAAGCACTTCATCATCAAGTAAGCACTTGTATAGAGGAGGCTTAGTTTTTTATATGAAGTTGAAGTATTCCTTGGGTCATCTTTTTTTCTTTCGGTGTAAAAAAATTATCTCCATTCAGAGATGTAATTAAAAGAAACAACTCACTTTCTTTTAGAGTTTTGCGCCATTCAAACTCCAAAATAACATCCGTATGTCCAACGAATGTATGCACAGGTACTGATGGATTATTGAGATTCCACAGAAGAAGACTATTTTCACCTCGACGCATCGGAGGTACAACCACCATCAACAGTCCATGACCAAATGGCTGAAAAAAAAGGGAGAAAAACCAATGAAAATACAATCTAACAGGTAAGAAGCAGGTATTTTCCTTCGTTAAGACCCACCATTACACAAATTTAAAAGAAGTGAAAACCAAAATGAAATAATTCTCACAAGCATTTCTCTGAGCAATAGTGCTGGAAAGTTAAAATTAAAATTTACGGCATGAAGGTCCTTTTCCCTGTGAACGATCTTAGATACTCTATCATCAGCAGAGGCTGGCAAGAATGTGTTAAACAGTTTTGGAAAGAGAAAAAAGTGATACTTACTGTATATCTAGCACGCCAAACCGGTGATGATGCTGTGATAATTGTTTCAGCTCTTCTAGGGCTAGTCGTATCAAAGAATTTGACCGTGCAGTCTTGACTAGAGGTGGCAAGCTGATTTTCAGTACTTGGACTCCAATCGAGGGCATGAATCTAAAACAAACATAAAAATTCCCTTTCAATCACTTGATGGGTTACAATCGTGACACGGTTAACTTTGATATTTCTTGGTTAGAGTAAAATGCTCTGGACAATTATTAGGGCTGTGCGAGCACTGGAATTCTGAGTCAAGTCGAGCCGAATATTGAGTGTTCGACTCGGCTCAAAAGTTAGGTTAAGTTTGAAGGAGTACTCAATTTCGGCTCGAGTGCCAATGACACAAGTTTTTACGAGTGTTTCAACCTTTTTGGAGCCAGAAACGCTGAGAGAGTTCAACTCTTATATAATTTAATCATACTATTATCATTTTTAGTTACACCATCATATTTCAAATGTCAAATCTCGTGTAGAAAAGTTGCTCAAACTTGACTGGACGATCATTTCCAAAGTTCAAAAAAACTCGAAACAGTGAAAAAATACTCAAACTCGGCTCAAACCAACCGGCTAGTACCAATGAATAGCGTTTTATTAATTGTCACAGTGCCAACGAACAGATATCCTCTTATGAATACCCTCAGACTCAATTTTTGTTACGTTGTAAATTAACTAAGTTTTTAATGTAAAAAAGAATCGAAATTACATTTGCAAGATGGGCAGCTATATACTGAACAGGAGCAGTGCCTTTTCTCTGATCCCAAATTTTGACATCTCCATTGTGAGCTGTTGCTAGAAGGTGCCTTGATATTCTATTCCATTTGACTTGCGTTGCTCCAGCTGAAAAATAAAAACAATATTAAGCTTCAAACTTTTAATTTGCAACATAAATAAAAGTTTTAGTAGTAATTTGAATTTTAACATTGGCCAATTTGACCGAGCAAAGCAAGAACATTTTGTGAATTTACAGTATAAAAAAGTACCAACTGTTTGATCTGAATCAATTGTGAGGTTAAAAGAACATAGAGAGGTATCAAGCATAATTTCAAAGGAGTCTGAGGCTAAATCAGATTACCACGAGGAGAGATCAATATTAAAGTGTATATTTTTCACTTAGCAAGTAAAGAAACAATGTAATTATTTCAGAACACTTTTATTTTCTCAGGGAAAAACTAATCATTATACTGAAGCAAAAGCGTCATTCAAGAGTGATTTTCAATCAACTTGTTTTCTCATTATTTTTTGTTGAAAAACTGGACTCCAGCAATTTTTTTTTTTTGCTAGGAAGATTGAATGTTAGCATTACATTGGACAGAACAAAAAATACTTTGAGCGTTTTTCCTTAAATTTCACTTTGAAATCAAGTTCTACTTGATATATAGCTATGATAGATTTGATCGAGTTAGGGTCTTTTTCATTAAATTAGATAGGTATGTATGAGTAGAAAGTTTAGATTTTATAAACTTCACTGAGAATAAAGCAAATTTAAACAAAGTTGGGTCTTATAATCAACAAAATTTAGGCACTTACAGACTGCTGATAGTGATATAGCCGGTTTTCGGGACTCGCGAATATCCCAGAGATGGGTGAACGTGTCTATGGAACAACTTGCAAGGAGATTAGGATCAGAGTGGTGCCAATTTAAAGCTGTCACGACCCGTGTGTGCCACTGAAGTGTTAAATAGAGACTAAGTTCACCTGTCTGTTGCCATGAGAGGATTTCTATTCTTTGGTTTGTCTGAAAAGTAATTACAAAGTGTAAAAGAAAAATGAAAATGTTGATACAAGATCTTCAATGAATGAATCAAAGCAATATTTTATAACTGAATAAAAGTTTCTCAGAAATAAATTTTGGGTACAAGATGAATAACACCACAAACTTTTTAGCTCCTCATGGGATGAGAAATGTTAGAACTGTGGGTTTTGGACAAGAATAGCAATTCATAATTTTGTGTACATATTGGATAGTTTGTTTACTGACTTCATATAATTAACAAATAAGTTTTCAGGAAGACAGGTAAGATAGATTTCTGGTCTTTGTTACTTGAACTGATTTGGTTATACCTAGGGCAGGAGATCAATTAGAATGTTTAATGTTTTGATGGAGGAGAGGGTGAGGTCCAAAATCTGAGAAAAATACAGCATAATTTTGGGACAGTCCCCAAGGCAAAACTTGAATATCTATGCCAACACCAATCAATTTTAACAGTGTAAAAAATCCAAAGACATCAAAGTATACTCACAGAAATAGCACATAAGTGCTTATTTGGTGAAGTGAGGTTCCATTCTGCCGTGCCAACATCAAATTTACTTTGACGAGGGAATTTCCTAAGATTGTCAGTCGGGTCATTTAAATTTTTTATTGCTAAGTAACGACGCCTGAAATAAAAAGATTCAATGATTTTAGTTGAACTCTGGTAAAAAGCTTATTCATTTCTGCTGATAATTCTTTAAGTACTTAAAGACTTATTGCATCATACACATGGTTAGTAAAAACCGTTGAATCAAGTCAAGTGTTAGATCAAATATTTACTTTGATGTTAGAAATGAGACACAAAACATATTTCAGAGGACAGAAAATTTGAAAATAGTTTCTCTCAACTTCCAAGGATCTAATAGTTTCTAGTTGACTTCTGATGACAGGCTGTTTAGAAAAAAATAAAAAAAACTTGAACTTTTTTTTATTGACATTGCAATCAAAGTCAAGTGTTTGCTCTTGTTGAGTCATCTACTGTCCACAGCATCGAATTAAAATTTTGTTTAGGAATTTACATCTGGTTAAATGACATATTATATAAAGATACCAACCCTGCAAGCAGAACGTATGTACCAGAACTATCCACAGCCATTGCATTTGCCTGGAAACAAGAAAAGACATAAATATAATAAAAATAGAGAAAAACACAGTTCCAAGCCAAAGTTTGCATTATTAATAATTTTGTGAGATTTAAAGTGAATCATTCCCTAGGCCAGTAGTGCCAACAAAATTTAACGGGGGTTTTATCAAATTCCTCGTATTTCTTCCTCCAGCTTCTCAGATTTTTTTCCTTAAGAGTCAATTTTTCGGTGTTCTATGTATCAGCCAGATGATGCAGAATTGCAGAATTAGCACCTCTGCACTGAGGTATGGCCATCTCAATTGAGATTCCCCCTCGTATTCAGGCACACTTGGATTGCATTTTGCAAAAAGGAACCACTAGCATTGCAATGTTGCTAAGATTGTGCAACTTCTTTTGTCTTGGAGGAAAAACCCGATTATCCAATAATAGTTTCTATTTTACTCGCTAAAAACTGTAAATTTAAGACCAAAATTACCATCTAAATTGCATAGTTTTTCATGATTTCCGTAATTTTATTGTAAAGGATGAAGTTGCACAATCTTAGCATCATTGTAATGCTAGTGGTTCCTTTTTGCAAAATGCAATCCACTTGGCCCTCCTGCGTCATACATTCCAGTACATTCACCATTAAGTCGGCCTCCTGTGGTTTAGTGTTCTAAGCACTGGCCCTACGATCAAGAGGTCCTGGTTTCCATTCCTGGTCAGGTGACCTGAGTTTGATGGTTGCGGCAATGGTCATCTGGGGCTAGGGGATAAAGAGTGGGACTTGCCATATCAATTAACTGAAAATTGGTAAGAAAAAAATTGTCTAAATGCTGTCTCAAGTCAATGAGATCCCTCGTTCTTTCATGCAACCAGGTACTGAATACTTATTACAACACTCATATATTGAGAAATAAACGTAGCTATGGTGTCAAATTGCGGTGCTTAAGGTGATTCGTCAAGCTCAAGTGACGTGGTTGAACTGACATGCGATTTATAGCATCGATTAGGTAAAAAAATCTCGGCAGATTTTGAATTTTAAGTAAAACCAAGAACGATAGCCCCTGCGCATGAGCCTAAAGAATCATTCTAAACCCAAAAATCGGCTAAATTCAGAGAAATAAAGGCAGAATAGTATTGGGAAAAAAATCTTGCATTCTACACAGAAATCGATAGCAAGGTTTTCTCCTAACACTATTCTGCTTTCATATCTCTGAATATAGCTGAGTTTAGGGTTTAGATTGATTCTTAAGACTTAGACGCAGGGGCTATGGTTATTTTTTTTGCTAAAAATTCAAGATCGGCAGAGATTTTTGACCTAATCGATGCGATATATCGCATGTCAGCTCGACCATGTCACCGGAGCTTGACCAATCACCTTCAGAGGAGTGCTCCATTACTTTGCAGTCAAAGTAAGTAACAAAGTATATTCAAAGTTTTCGAATACTTGCAAGACATATCACTTGGCAGTATATGATTAGCGCCAGTTACAATGTTTAAATGTAACCTGATTATTGAAACTATGTCGACACTTCTTAACCATGCAATCTATTACATTACAACGTCTAATTGGGCTGCTTGAAACTTTCAATACTTGGTCTACTGGAATAAATTCAATTAGAAGCTAACTGCTTTGGAATTTCAGAGAAGTACATTGCGTATCATATATCCAAGAGCATCCAAATAAGTCGCGGATGCACAGCGCTCACTGCCCCACTTATGCAGGAAACGCTGATGAGCTAAAATGAAATTTCGACTACATATATCGGAATTCATCAATTGCCCGACTATCTTTGTATCTTTCTTACTATAATAAAAAACAGGGCATAAGTTTTCCTCGCTGATAAATTTAACTTCATGAAAGTTTGAGGTTGGACGAGGGTGGCATGTAATTAGGGTTGGTGTGAATCTATCGAACAAAAATGAAAAAGGATGCGTCTTTATAATACCTGCATATCCTTATGCTCGGCGATAATATATTCGCTACTCCACCTGGTGGCCATGGCTTTTCACAGAACTGGAAACTAATTCTGAGAATCAATGCACGGGCACACATCACTTGACGTGCTCAAAAAGATAGCACTTGAAACGGAGCAGTCTTTCATCGGGATGGATAAACTGGACGGTTACAATGTTACAAATCACTTGAAGGATTCATCTAAAAGGATGATGACAAGACTTCCGACTGAAATTACAACTTGATCGGTTGAAAAAAAGATGAAAATGAGGCAATAACTAATAAGGACGTAAAGGTAAACAATTCAACCGCAAATCCGCAAAAAAATTTTCAGCAAGTTGCTGATGTTGTTGTTGTTCGTAGGTTGGTTAATTGGCCTTCAAACGCACTCTGTCGGAATCAGGATGTACTCATGGGATGTACTAACTAAATCCTTTTGACAGGTGTACTTTTCATACTTTTTCTTTAGATTTCCAACTTTTTCCGTGATAAACTGGCGCTTTTCCCCCCCAAATCACTCCCAAGGTATGTACCTCTCCCCAAAAGAGCTTTTTAGGACCAGGCGAATGTAGTTATCAAAACAATTTACTCAACTCGACCCAACTCTCGCCGAAGAACCAATTTTTAGACGTCCGTCTTGCAGGGTGCTTTCAGAGACCTTAGAGCATGTATTATTTTTTTTTACTTTTCAAAATGATTGTTGCGTAGAACACGTCATAATATATTTTGGGCAAACTTTTCTCAAAGTTCAAATTGAAGAGGCGCCTCAACTTGCGTTAACGACGGCGCAGAGATACAACTATTCGTGCTTGATGGATGACCATGTTGCATGAGAAAAATTGAAGGCGCGATGGCGTGAGGCGTGCACTTGCAATTTATGCTCCTCAAACACAGTGTGCGGAACTTGTACGGCGCAATGTTCCTCTCTATGCTGCTGTCGCTCAGATTTGGGAGGAAACTTAAGAGCGAGGCCCGATTACGCTCCTCCTATCTTCGGCTGTGTTGCTCATCACGTAGCCCTTGGAGCACACCATTACCAACACGCCATGACAATATACCAAGGGAAAGGAATCATGTTGATAACGGCGCAGAGATACGACTATTCGTACTTGATGGATGTCCGTGTTGCATCTAAAAAATTGAAGGCGCTATGGAGCGAAGCGTGAACTCGCAATAATCTGCCACTATGCTGCCTATCATATCAATGATTCGGCTCAGATTCGGAAAGTACCTCCGGCATATACTTTAAATGATGCATGGGAGGCTCTGAAATTTTTTAAAATTTTCGTGGATCCTTCTCTGGATCCTTCTTTAGCGTTAGGGTGTCCCTCAAATCCCCTCTTACGATGCGATTAAATCAATCTCGCCCCGGTCGAAAAAAGTCGTGAGTCCGGCATTGCAAATTGCACCGTGTGTCCTTTTTATTATTCCGTTTACCTCGGAGATAATAAAGTATATCGATGGCTATGCTACAAATGCGTATCTGCGATGAACCGTTTCGAAATCTCTGATTATATTCAATTCATTGAAAAGAAAATTGGACAGAAAATCAACTCTATATCGAACAAATAGTGTTTTTGTTAAACTAAATAATTATTTGTAACCAATAATTGTTTTAAAATTTTTTTAATTGTCTTAATAGCTTCAGAGATTTTCACAGAAAATAAAGTATTTTCTGTGAACATCTCTGAATAAGGGAAGAAAATTTCAATAAAACATGGGGTTTGATTTTTCTTTAAAACCAATGAAATGTGAACTACGATCGGCAGTGTCGCAGTCGTCAATACCTCCGCATTATCCTACTTCTTAAAAGCCATGTTACTAGAAGTTGCCTCAATGAACTTTTACGATCATTTTTTTAAAGAGATGATATGAATCACCCCCTGAGAGTAAGGAAACTTTAAAATACCGTTTCTAACAAATTTTACGACGTATCCCACTGTCTATCAGTCTCAATAATCAGCCTGCAGACCCAATAACTACCAGAAACATGCTCGATATAGCTTTGTTTGATTCCAGTCAAGGTCTGCGAGGCACATTGCCTACTCGATCAATTCAAGGCGCTAGAATAATTCCCCAAAGTTCATTTCAAGTAAGTTGCAACTTAACAAGAAGATTCAAACTTTTTCTTCTTATCATCATAACCGAGCTAAGCAAATACAAAATCATTCAAACTGCATGGCCCTTTCTTTGGAAATCCTATTTTCGACAAAAATCGTTATCAATAATTTACAAGAGTTCGCAAACTTGCTTTAGCAATTTATCATTGACTGTCTCGACGAGACCCTCTTCCATTATCCACGAGTATACTTTTTCCTTTCACCTTTTTTTTTATTCTATCGGAAATTTTACTCGCACGGCAAGAACATTTACTTACAAAGAGTAAAGGAAACACCAAAGAAACATTTATTCACAATTAACACGATAGCAATTAATTAATTGATTAATTTTACAATTAATTGATAGCGTAAAATAAGAACAGAATCAATAAATTACGAAGGTACATAACTGACTGCGTTAGACCACACGCAAAATTAACTACGATCTTAATAGTCTAAAATCTAGATTACAATGACTATCCACTTACTTATACCTAACTTACTGACTTATCATATTATCACTTGGTGACCTGTGCGTTCTTGGATAATGCACACGATTAACCGATTCACTAGGCACGTACCTAAATCTTGCAATTAAACCGTATATTAATCTGATCAGTGAAACAAAAATAAAATGAAAGAGCCCAGAATTGCGGTAAAAGGAAGAAGTTGAAATTTGAGACTGTTCGCGTGGAGACGGAGAGTACCGAGACCGCCGACAGAAAAAATCGAAATTTAGGTATAGAGAGCGTTGTTACCGGCTTCACTCAAAGCTCCTTCATCTCACTGAATATGCAATTTGATCTCCGGGGAATTGAAGTAAATGCGCCAGGTTGAAAAGTGTCTTTGGCGGCGGCGAAGCGCCGTAGATTTGACTGCAAATTGCTGGTTCATTCGAGGCTCCAGTACCTATCCTGTCATTGAATTCAGGAGTTTAAATAAATAGAGAAGTATAAAATAATTTGATAAATAGCACGATAAGACATCGAATTGCGATATATTCCATGGTTACCAAATAGGAGTGATCGCGATACGTTGCGATTTATACGAAGAATCCCTGGTAAAAATTGGCGATAGGAGCTGCGTTTCAAAATACCATAGGAGTTCTTATAGCCGACTAAAGAAGGCTATTGAAAATCATATAGCCGATTGTACAAAGCGGAGCAAATCATATAGCCGGGCTACACGAGGCTATAAAGAAGTATATAGTAGGGCTACAGTTCCTATCGCCGGGCTTTACACTTTATCGCCATTGGCTACAAAAGGTTAAAAAAAAATTGTGTAGAAATTAGTGTGCTTGGAAATCATTAAGTTTGATACGGAACTACCTTAATATTTACAGAACACATTTTATATTTTCCTATAAAACATATTTTTTTTTTCATCAATTAAAATGAGAATAGTCTATACAGGATGTGCAAACGTTTCAAAATCATGAGTTGAAAAACGCTGACTCCGCGAGATTAAATATTAGAGCCTAACACAAAGCGGAGCGGCGACGCACTGGCGCCTACAAACCTAACAGGGATACTTCACGCATTGCGCAATGCGTGAAGTGTCCCTGATAGGTTTGTAGGCGCCAATTCGCGTTCAGCGCTGGCTGCCCGCCCGCCGCGCCGCAGCGTGCCACGGCCTGAAGCAACTATTTCACACCAGAGGTATTGCATAGTATCATAAAAAATTGAAGGCGCTCCAACATTAGTAATGACAGGCATCCTTTAAAAGTACGGAGCTTTCCTCGCAAAATAAATCAAGATACTACGGCACAAAAAGAGAACGGTAGTCCAAAAACTAACTAGGTCCTTGTATCCATTTTTAGTAACGTTTAGCATAAACTTTATCGTCTGGCTGTTGCTTAGTCGCCATCGGCTATAAAAGGCTATAAGAAATTGTACAGCCGGCTACAGAAGCTATTGGAAATCTTACAGCCGGCTTTAGGTCTATAGTATTTTGGAACACACATTCTATTGCCAATTTTTACCAGGGATGCATCGCGATTGTATCAACGTCGATTCATTGAAACTTTATCGGATGAAAAATTGCGATGAATTGCGATTTCATTACATTTTGCAATAAAATCGCAATTTTATTGCCGGCGATGTATCGCAATATTATCGGACAAAAAATCGTGAAAAATTTATATTTATCGAAGGCAGAGATCGGTATCGATTTTATATAGAGATAAAATTGCGACAAGATCGGAGATATTCGCTCAGATGTTGATGATCCTAGCAATTTGATTGCCAAAAAATGTTTAATAAATTGCTACTAAATTTCAAAATACCTATGACAATTTTTCCGTTGAAAAATGCTACTTAGGTTAAAGCAGTAGGGCTACATCTAGTCTTGTCGTGCTGACATAGTTCGAAGAATCAAGCTGCTAAACTACTGACTCTGCGGGCTGATTGTTGAACTTGGTAGACAAAGCTATAGACAAAGAAGACAAAAGGGATATGAAGGGATCCTATCGGTGGAAGCGGGTGGTTGCAATGGACAAAGGAGGTAGGGTATACTAACTATCGGCAGCCCACGAGATACCCTATAGTTTGTCCATTATTTTCTCCCTTAGTCTATAGGAACCACCCATTTCAATCAATAACATCGCTCCTTACTCGCTAAGTCTTCTTTGTCTATAGCTCTGTCTACCAATTTCAACAATCGGCCCGCACTGCCGTGCTAAGGAAGAACGCCGTATGAACATTCGAGAGTTGCCAAATTTCTCTCGAAAAAACACGTATTTTTGCCGCAATTTAAGCATATGTTTCTTAGAAATTTTCAGATATTTTAGATTAAATTGCGTACATAATGGAGATGTTACATGTGTGAGGAATTTGCGATTTAACTGTTGATTCTTATGTACAAGTTCGCGAGAAACACGATGGTGCCACTGGTTTTCTCTGAAATCAACTCCGAAGCTCAAAAAAAGCTCTCAAGTTGAGGCCAAAATGGAGAAGATATCCCGCGCTATCCTAAGAGTCCACCTCTAACTTGCCCTCAACTTGAGAGCTTTTTTGAGCTTGGAAGTTGATTTCAGAGAAAACCAGTGGCACCATCGTGTTTCTCGCGAACTTTTACGTAAGTATTGATAGTCAAATCGCAAATTCCTCATACATGCAACATCTCCATTGTCTGAGTATTTTGAAAAAAAAAAATGTATACGATTTTCCCAGTAAATTCGGTTTTCATCGAAAGAAATTTGGCAACGCCTGAAGGTTCATAC